TGTGTTGATGCTCTGGAGCTACTTCAATATACTGTCACTTGTTCCAGGTCATAAAATTATTGTTCTTGATTTTGACGCAGTTACCAAACACAGATGTAATTTATCTGAGGACCTAGAAGAAGACATGCTCAACTCTGTCCACAGATTGAAGACACACAGCCCCGCCCCCACTGACAGACTTATTGTTATTGAACGAATCACATGTCGATATCAAACTGAGCTCCGATGAACATCAACTCTGATGAACAGTTGAGAGACACAGATGTTTGTGGACTAAGTCTGAAGACGATTTAAGCTTCACTCACTTCTTCTTCTTCTTCTTCTTCCTGTGAAGGTTCGTAAAGCTCGTAACAGACGGCAGGAGTGGAACCTGATGGCGTACGACAAGGAGCTTCGCCCAGACGCTCGAGTGACGCCATCACCGTACCACACCTCTGATGGCTCGGTGTCACCTGATGGGTAAACAGCTACGTTTATGTCAAAGGACCACTTCCTGTTCTAGCATGTATGTTCCCATCCATCTCCAGAGGGTGGAGCTGCTGCTGCAGTTGCTGCTGTTAAACCAATGATGAAGTCATTGATGCACATGAACCACCTTTCAATCACCTCATGTCTCCACCCCCCAGGTCAGGGATGTCAGACGACCCCTCCTTCCCTGCCAGCCCCAACCTACATGACACCCAGCGGCATGATGGGAAGGATCATGTTGTGACTGGTGGAAGCGGTCAGACTCAGTCACTGGACCGCGCCCTCCGACCCACCACTGTGTCCACTGCCATTACTGCAGCGACTGCCCGCCAGCACTCGCTTGGCCGCAACCAGCAACATCACCAGCTGCCACATGCTGGCTCGGCCAATCAGAACAGAGCACGGACCAACACCGCCAAGTACACACACACTCACACACACAGAAACGTGCCCTGTCATCATTTCCACAGTGACAGTTTGATACTTGACCTTTGACCTCCATCTCTTCTCAGCCACCATCAGATCCCTCCAGCTCCTCCTCCGCCCCCGCCTCCTCTCATGCCGTCAGCGGGACAGATCAGCTCCACCCACACTGCTGCCATGGCAACACCACTGCATCCTGCAGTTGCTCTTGGTAACCAAGGTAACAGATAAAACATTTTTTTGATCCAGATAAAAAGGTGAAATCATCCAACACATGTTTTTGTGTCTCCAGGTGTCGCTGCTGCACTCTCTCGCCCCTACAGTCCCTCCCCTCCCCCACCTCCTCCAGCTAACTATGTCCCCTCCCCCTCCCGGCCTGGAGGTCAGGCCCCGCCCTCGTCTGCTACCATGCCCCTGTTGCCCCCGGTAACTGATGCCAGGAAGCCTCCGGGTGGAGTGAACGTGCCAGTGAACGATGCTCGCAGCGACCTGCTGGCCGCTATACGCAGAGGTCAGCTAGCTAGCTAACACTGTTAGTGTTTAGAGTTAGCTGCTAATGGCTAGCTGCTAACTGGTAATGACAGCATTCTGCCTGAAGAGGGCACAATACTGATTTCTGATCATTGCTGTGAATATAAACCGTAAATAATAATAATAAATAACTTCTCACTCGTAGAATCAGAGTTACGCACTGTCTGTGACATCATCAGAACTTGTGGCGTCCTGTGATTTGATTGGCTGTTGAGGTTCTGGTTTCTGTCACTCGCAGGGATTCAGCTGAGGAAGGTTCAGGAGCAGCGTGAGCAGGAAGAGGCCAAGAAACGAGAGCCGACAGGAAATGATGTCGCCACCATCCTGTCACGACGCATTGCTGTAGAGTACAGCGAATCAGAGGAGGAGTCCGAACCCGAGGACCAGGATTGGTCCGACTGAGGAGGAGCTGCTTCATCACATGATGATGATCGATTATTATAATTAATGATTGTTCAAAATGATCAGTTATTTATTCTTTATGTTCAAATCTCATCTCCACGAGTCGAACCCTGCAGGTTTTAATGAGCCCTGACGTGTCCTGTAGCGCCCCCCTCAGGTCAAACATGTTCAGACTCTGAGGACTGGTTCATGATCGTCCATAGCAATATTTACACTAAGGTGTTAATGTTGTAAAAATATTAATGAGAGAAAACATTGTTTTGTTTTTTTATCTTAACCCGAAGAATATGATCAGTTCTTTGAGTTGCAGGATGTCCAGCAGGTGGCGCTCACTGTGGTGAAAAGACATGAAACAACCTGTTGATTCTTCTCCTTCATGACGTTTTACTGTGACTGTAAAAAACTCCTTCATTGTTTTTTCATTTTTTGCTTTTTAACATACAAATATTTCAGCTGATTTTTAAAATGTATTTAAATCTTAAAAGTTATAGTTTCTGCTCGTTTATGTGTTTTTAAAGTTATTTTCTATTATTTATTTTCTGGTCATCGTTGACGTGTTTCTTCACGTTCTGTCTGATTCAATGGTTACTATGGTAACAGAGAAGAAAAGTCACATGATGCATTTTGTTCTGATGTTATTCGTGCATCAGATTAAACAATATGATGTAATGGTGACATCATCAGCTGTAACTGTTTCACGTCAGTATTCTCTGTGCTTTGATGTCATCGCTGATGCTGATGATGTCATCAATGCCCTGTCATCAGAAATATATGTAATGAGGGGCGTGTACTTCCTGTTCTGTACCATCTGTGATTGGTAGAAGAGATTTATTGATTTGTGCTGTGATTTGCATGTTGATGGAAAAAAAACCAAATTGGTTAAACAATCGAAAACTGTAAAACAAGTTCTTCATGAAAAAGAAAACTTTACTGACAACGTTGCGTGTACGTTATGTTTATTAAGGATTCATTTTGTTATGATCTTTTATTTGTTTTTTATATCAATTTAATGAAACTTTAAATAGATTGAAAAAAAGATTTTGTTCATCAAGAGCCAGGTGTGTTTTATCTGAACTTTCTTCATTTTTTGTGTAACTTTATTTTTGCATCAGAGTGAAAATGAAAATACTCGAGTATCTTAACTGCTGCAGTAGTTTGGTTGATGTGTAGGGGGCAGTATAACCTCGAGCTGCTCATTATTTTATCCAGAAGAAAAAACGAGGCGGAAACGGATTCTCGGTGTTGTTCAAACTTCAAACTGAAAAACTAAATCAAAGGATTTCATCAAAGTCTGACCTGTCCGGAAACTGGTGAGAGAGAGAGAGTGTGTGTGTGAGAGAGAGAGAGGGAGAGAGAGTGTGTGTGTGTGAGAGAGTGTGTGTGTG